ATCCCGATTGCACGAGCTTGCGCATTTCGAACGATGACGACTCAATGCAAAACAGTTCCCCTCCCCTGTGTTTATATCGTTAGTATCGTCGTACGCTACGCTAGTTTCGTTTCTCGTGCGTAAATTTCCAGAGATAGAAAAAAAAAAGTGACAGTGACGAGTGAATTTCAACGGTTCCGTCCCTCTAAAAACCATCTCCGCGTTTCCTTTATCGCCGATATTATATAAATTTTCACCAGGACAGGAAGAGCTGCTCGCCCGACAAACCTCGAACGACGAAGAAGAAACAGAAGAAAATATCGCTCGAATGGAATTGCCTCGCATCCACGGAAACTTATTACCACCATTCTCACCGTGCAATAAACGAATCGACTCGGTGTTCGCGAACGTTTATCGAGCGACCAAAGCGTCCTCACTCACCACTGTAACGGCCGATAAACGATCGATAAAGCGGCCCCGTAACGAGACCGCGTTCACATCACAGTTTTCACACCGATCCACCCTCATCCTCTCTCTCTCTCTCTCTCCACAACCAAACTCATCAACCCCAAATTCCATAATTCGAAATCGAACAACATATCGTCGCTCGTCGAAGATGCTCGAGAAATCCAACTAGAAAACACTCCTCTCACGCGTGTATACACATTCATACATACATACGCGCGTCTCCCGCACGATCGAGAAAGGATATGAGACGGGGAACGGGAGTGGCGACGCGTGTCCCTCNGGAGGAGGAGAGGCGGAGGAGGAGACGGTTGGAAGGAAGCAGGAGCAGGAGGGATCCAGGCTGGTCGGCGTGGAGAAGAGGCTCACCCAGAAGAGGCAAGCACCGAAACCGCCTCCTGCCTCCACCGCGGAGAGGAAGGTATTTTTCGAAATTTTTCTCCCACNTTGTATCCACGTTCGCGAGGAACGTCGCTACGTTCGTTTCGAAGGAAAAGAGATAGATTTTTGGATAGAAACGCGTGAAATTGGTCGAGAGTTGGAAGGTAGGAGGGGGGGTGTTTTGACAGTTGACGGAACGCAGTTAACCGCAGTGCTGGCTAGCGCCACGTTGGGGCGATTCAAGAACGTCGCACGTTTGACGCACGATGACACACGCGTTCCGCTTGTCATTCCTTAAACCGTCCTCGCCTCGAGATCGAACGGGGCTCGAATTTTCGTCGAGTAATTGCGTGACCTCGTACGATGACGTCTCTCCTAACCCTAATATTTAAATGGATCGGGATCTCGAACGATCATTTGCTCAAAGACAAAGTACAATTGTCGTTGAAAAAAGAGGATAAGAAGGGAGATATTCTAACATCTTCCTTTTCGAATAGGTCAGCCCTCAGGATGTCAGGCGGGATTGGTCGGAAAAGAGTTGTGCGCGGGAGGAGAGATCGATCGGGATCGAGAAGGTGGGCGAGGATGGATCTGGAGAGACGGTAGAGGCGAGGAAGGATGACGCGAGGGCGAAGGAGGGAGCGGCGAGCACGGAACAGATCCAGAAGCAAGAACCCACGCTTCTGGTCACGGATTCGTGGCGGTTGGCCAACAAGTGCATGGTCGTTGCCGAGCTGTCGATGCCGCCTAGTCAAGAATCGTCGAGCGACAGCGTGTTCACGGATCCCGAGGAATTGGCCGCGATTGCCGCGAAAGAGCAAGAAGCTGCAAAGACCCCGTCGATCACGGCCAAAGATCAACACAGGGTCGGACCCTCTTCCGTATCACCGCTTTTCGGTAAGCCCGTTTCGTTCTCCTCTCCTCTGTTTGAACGCGGCAATCGATACACGAGAGTAGGAAACGAGTGTTTCGAAGTAACGGTCATCCGTGAGATGACATCCGTTTTATTCGATTAACAGTTTGTAAACTGTCGCTGTTGCATGTTTTGAAATATTCAGATAGGCAAAAGGGGAAACAAAATGGAAAATCACATTGGATTTTTCACTTCTCTTCAATTTGGGTTAGAATAGAATTGGAACGTTGATAATTATCGAAATTGAATTTCGGGATTGCAATAATTAATTGATGGAATAACAAAATATTTCTTGTATTAATTTGTTATTTTTGTTCTTGAGATATTTCATTGCAATAAAGTATGATATACGATGTAGTTTCAATAATAATGGGAGTAGACGTTTAAAGTACAAGAGCAAGTATGAAGAAGGATATAGCAAATAATGATAGATAGAGATAGGATAAAAATTGGAGAGAAAAATGATAGGAAAATGATAGGGAGAAGAATAGATAAGAATTCATCATATCATCCCTTTAACGTTCTTGAATACATTTCTTTCAAGGAGTAAAAAAAAGAGAGTAAAAAAAATTGATCGCAGCTCCATCTTTTGAACGCTCTATTTTACCTACCTACTTTCGTAGAGATGCCTTCTATTTAACAGATAGCGCAGACGCTATATTTCTATATAATACTTACTTACTTACTCATTGTTTTCTGCCCTTTCTATATACACGTTTCATTTACGGCATTGGAGATGCCTTATTCTTAAGATGCCTTGTCCTTCTGTATTTACAGAATCTATATAAACTCATGAAATGGTTTCTTATTAAGTTTATTGTCTTCTTTGTTTGCTTATATTGATTAAAAATTTCAACTGAATCCATGCATGCACGTATTTACATTCTTACATATATTATTTTATACGTACGAAAATTTATTTTCTATAAATTTATATTTTATATAACATGTTTCGTTATATAAATTAAAAACACGTATATAACACGTACAAGCAAACGTTTCTTCTTTTCTTTATTGCTCATCTCTATATTTTTCATATTCATTTATGCTTAAATGATTTTTAAATTACGGAGAATTATAGATTTCAAATCGTTTGTTTTTTTAAATTTTATTAAAATCGTTGAATTTGACGTTTCGTCGGTAAGTGAGAGAGTTTCTAAAAAGTTTCCAAGATCAGCGCCATCTCGCGTTTGGATCGCCGAAGCTCCAATTTGTTATTAGTATAGCAGAATACGTGAAGAGGTATTCGAAGTGAGAAGGAAAGCAACATGTGCGAGAAGGACGGACAGCATCTTCCATTTCGAGGACGTGAAATAGAAAATTCATTAATAATTCATCCTCCGCTAAGAATTTCAATACTTTCAAGCTCGAATATTGCAGCTAAGACTCCAGCCAAGTTTCCCGTATCAATTTTGATGCAAAATTTTTGTTAATTAATTAATTATTAACGAGTAACGCCTCGTAGATTCTGATACATCGATGACGCCATATTGAAAATTCATTGATAAAACTTTTTCTACTGAAAATTTCATCACTTCTGAACTCTCATATTGCAGCTAGAATTCCAGCCAATTTCTCGTATCTTAAGAATATCGAAATTTTCAGTAGGAAAAGAATTATTAATGAATTTTCAATATAGCGTCATTGATTTATCAGAATCTATGACGCGTTAATCGTTAATAATTAATTAATTGCATAAAATTTGGTATTAAAATTGATACGAGAAACTTGGCTGGAGTTCTAGCTGCAATATTCGAGCTTAAAAGTGCAGAAATTTTCAATAGAAAAGAAATTATTAATAAATTTTCAATATGGCGTCATCGATGTATCAGAATCTATGACGCGTTAATCGTTAATAATTAATTAATTGGGCAAAATTTGATATTAAAATTGATACGAGAAACTTGGTTGGAGTTCTAGCTGCAATATTCGAGCTTAAAAGTGCAGAAATTTTCAATAGAAAAGGAATTATTAATGAATTTTCAATATGGCGTCATCGATGTATTAGAAGCTATGACGCGTTAATCGTTAATAATTAATTAATTAGGCAAAATTTGATATTAAAATTGATACGAGAAACTTGGTTGGAGTTTTAATTGCGAGATATGAGCTTAAAAGTGTTGAAATTTTTAGTGGAAAACGAGTTATTGAATTTTCTCTGCGGTATTTTTGTAATGGTGGGAAATACTCTTTGTTCTTTTCGTACAATATTGCTTTTCTCATCTGCGATCTCGTATACCTCCTCGTACATTCTGTTATGCTAATAACAAATTGGAGCTTCAGCGATCCAAACGCAAGATGGCGCTGATCTTCGAAACTTTTTTAGTATCTATTTAATTTCGACTGTACTATCGAATGTACTTATTTAATACTTTATAAACAAAAGCGCATATTGTACAATATTAACAAATATTTTTTTAAAAGTATTATAAAAGAACCATTATGTAAATCCATATAATATTTATGAAAATATTATATTGAAACTCGTAGAAGAGTTGGAAAGTTATAAAAGAAAAATTTATTGAAAGAGAAGGCATAAAAAAAATGAAAAAAAAAATAAATAAATAAAAATATAAATAGAAAATATAAGACTTTAATAGAACATATTAATTATAAATTACCTACTGCACTTACATATTGCGACTTATTTTGCAATTTTTTCAATAGTTTTCTTAATTTTATAAATTGCTTTTGCTATATATTTATAAAATTAATCTTTTTGCAATATTTATCGAACGTTTTTCGATAGGATAAAAATTATTTTTTGAGTATCAAGAATATACCTTCAAAAAGTAGGGTAAGATAGAATAAGAATTGGATATTAGCGCCATCTCTTGGATACTTTCAGAAAAATGACTTATAAAGAAGTACCTTTGATATTCGAAAGATGGTGCTGACGAATAATTCTCTATCTCTATCCTTTTCTCGTTATCTATTCTTTTTGTCTATAGTTGCTCTACAAAGAGATGATTCTAAATATTTCATTAACCTTATTACTTTCTTTATTTAATCTGTTGCAATTCATGTACGAGTTTGGCTACTATTCATAGCGATCGAAAAATCCATAAATACAATCCGATATGTGCATGGGAATATTTATCAAAGGATGCATCATAATAAATTTGTCGACATTAATGTTAACTTTTTCGATCGAATCGAATTCAAATAATTTTCCGTGCAATTTCAAGATACGAGATAAAATTTCATCAAATATTTGATCTACTTTTGTACTCGAACGATCCACGAGTTTAACATAGATCAAAGACCGAATACCTATGTACACTCATCCATGATATATGACGTCTCATTTCGATAAGGAACGCGATAAGATTTATCGAGGAGGCGTGATTCGCCACGCGTCGCGTTCGTGTTTTCATCGTCCAACGATGATTACGCCCTCGTTTCTCGCATAAAATTTCTTCGGGAAATCGGTAAAAAATTCAACTCGAGCCTTTCAACATGATGTTGAAAGCTATCGGAGTGGTGTTTCTTTTGGATCGTAGCTGGTCGTTGCAACAGGAAGAAGCATATCATTTCGGTTAAGAAAAAATTATTTTGGTTATACGATTGGCAATTATTATCTCACTACTGTCAGAGGTTAACTCTGGGATCAAACGTTATCGCGAAGCGTTTGCAAAATTTGTGGTAAAAAGCAACGAGGGGAAGTGAATCCATTGTTGAGTTCATCAACGTGAATCGATCATGCCTCGATCTTGAAATTGGAAAAAAACTTCAGGGATCGGACAGATGTGGATAAGAGCTAGATGCTAGAGGAAGACTGCGATGGCGTCGAAGCCAGAAACGAGCTTGTCATTAAGTCGTACTCGTTCAGTGAGAATTGCACAGGTTCGATGTTTGTCTCGTTTCTTCGAGTTTTGCTTGATTTCGAAACGAACGATCGGGTGAGATTACATTGGAGGAAAATTAACAAACGAAGAGAAACACAGTGAAAACATTTAAATATTTCGTCCACACTTTCAGAGAGACGTATCGTTGGCACGTTGATCTCGGCCCTCCCGGACCAATTGAAATCGATACTCACGGAGGCCGAAGTCGAGCAATTCGCGTCCAGAATATATTCCAGCCTCGTCTCGGACGGTATCATCGGATCGATCACAATCGATGGCGTCGCCCGGAACAAGGATTTCGCGGTAACACCGTGATCAATATCCTTCATCGCCTTCTCCGTCTAACGTTAAATTAAACTCCAACTTTCACCCGTTTCAGGAAGACTCGTGCGAGTACGGGGACACGCCATCCGTATCCGTCGGTTTAACTTCCGACCGGGTTTCCGGCAACGGCCGACNGACTCCGAGAAGGAGTTATTGAAACAGGAACTCGAACGGTTACGAGAGTTCGCCAAAAATGCGGGAAGGAGTACTCAAGGTAAATCCACCCAAACGTCGCCGTCGGCGACACTTCCAGAGCCACCAAGTTCACCAGCCACCCACGATGCCAACTCGCGAGACCGTTGTCCGAGCGCCGCCTCCAAGGACCCGCCGACCACAAC